CCACCTAAGTTCTGCATCACTTCTGAATGTGGTGTCACTAAAGAAATTACCACTACCTATAAGGAATGGGTCAAGAAGGATTTAGCTTTGTTAAGTCTACTAATTGCAACACTCTCTGATGAAGCCATGGATCATGTTATTGGCTATAAGACATCACAAGAAGCTTGGGAGTGCCTTCAAGAAAGGTTTACGTCTGTTTCAATGGTGCGAGTGAATCAATTAAAGACAAAGTTTCATACTGCACAAAAAGGAATTGACTCTGTGGATAAGTTCCTACTCAGGTTGAAAGGGCTCCGAGATCAATTAGTATCAGCTGGAGAAAAGATAACAGATAATGATTTTATGATTGCAGTGCTATCTGGCTTACCAACAGATTTTGAGGTTATTAAAACAGTGTTGCTGGCTAGAGATACACCAATTTCTCTAAAAGATTTTCGAGCACAGTTTCTTGATGCTGAGGCTTACATAGAATCCAAGATTACAAGTCTGTCATCAACCATGTCAGCTATATGTGTTCAAGATCAGTCTAATAATTCATTGCGATATCAAGGAGGCTCTCAAGGGTATGTACAAGGAGAGAGCTCTAATACTAACAGATCACAAGGATAAGTCTATTTTGGTGGCAGATCTGGTTATGTTGGAAATGAGGGAAAGTTCTTTCAGCCACAGCAGCAAAATAATTACCAAAACTACAATAATAGGAGGTACTCTGGTCACAACAACAGTTTTAGATCCTACTCTAATTTTGGGGATTAGACAGGAAGCTTTACTTTTGATAGAGGTGAGGGCTCAAATACTAAAGGCTCTCAAACCAGTTTTGGTGGGAATGGTTCAACTGGGTTTTTTTTTCAGGAAATGGCTCAAGACAAGGCAGTGGTTGGCAGGGTAATACAAATTACAGGTCACCAGTATCACCAGAATGTCAGATATGCTTTAGAAAAGAGCACACTGCTAATACCTGCTATTACAAAAGTACTCAGCATCAGAATCAATCATTTGGACATGTGAATGTGTGTCAAATTTGTGGGAAAATGGGGCACATAGCACTGGATTGCTACCACAGAAACAACTACTCTTATCAAAGCAATCCTCCACCACCTCTATCACTTGCTAGTATGACTGCTCACAGATCAAATGATATTGATCCCAATTCAAGCGTTCATGGTTTTTCTATAGTTGATACATGGGTAATGGACACAGGAGCCACTCCTTGACAGCTAACCTTGATATCATCAATCAGGCTACTCCTTACAATGGTGATGCTAAGATTACTGTTGGTAACGGTGAAGGTTTGCAAGTTAAACATATTGGGTTTTCGATTATACGAACACCATCTAATGATCTTATTCTACATAATGTTTTACATGTTCCCCAAATAACTATGAATTTGTTGTCAGTTAAAAAATTATGCAGAGATAATGGTTATTGGTTTGTCTGTGATGATTTGGTATTCTTTGTACAGGACAAGGCAACAAGAGTGATTTTGTACCAGGGAAATAGTGATGATGGTGAGCTGTTCAAGATACTAGTCAGTGTGTTTTCTCATTCATTTGCAGCAAAGTTGGGAAGGTGTGCTGCGTTCTTAAGGAAGAAAATAAAGACATCAGTATGACATAGAAGACTAGACCATCCTGCAGAAGCAGTATTAAGTTCCATGTTGCAGAGTGCACAATTACCAGTTAGTGTTGATTCATCTCCTTCTATATGTTCAACATGTATTCAAGGCAAGATGAGTTGCCTTTCCATGTAAATCAAGAGAGACCAAAATCTATATATCAAAAGATACATTCAGACATCTGGGGTCCTTCACCTTAAAAATCTATAAAAGGTTATACATATTACATCAGTTTTGTAGATGATTTCTCTAGGTTTGTATGGATTTACCCTATGATGAATAAATCAGAAACCTTCTCAGTATTTGTCAAGTTCTACAATTTTGTGTTGAATCAGTTTAATACCATTATTAAATGTATTCAATCTGATGGTGAAGGGGATGTTGGAAGTATGCCCACAAAGCCACTCATTTGATGTAATAGCTTTTGGAATACTTATTGTATTAAACTTTTATATGTTTAATGAAGGGCAAAGCTTATTGTTAATCACTATTTATTGTATCATGTGTTTAAGCAATAAGGGAATCCAAGGAATGTATTTGATCTAAGAGATAAGTGATTTAAGTAAGTTAGATTATCGAGACCTTTCTCTTATGTTCATTCCTAAAACGTTCCTAGCCATAGGATTGCCAATTGGGCATTGACAATCCGCTAAGGTTAGTATGTGTTATGTCGACTCAAGCGTGAGTATGACTAGTCTCATGTCATTTAGTGTTGGACACTAAGGCAAACACATAGGTGCTCGAAAGAGTGATCGAGTACACTGAACAATGATCAAAAGAGAGTTCGAACATACATGTCATGTAAGAACTCGAAAGTTGCAATATGCAAAGTAGTCCTTTACCTGAGGCATCATTGATGTCTAATGGTTAGGTCCTTGATCTTTGATCATTTCAAAGGCATTCCATTGGAGTATCCACGTCATTGTTGTGGTCAAGCTACCTAGTCATGTAGGCATATGAATGCACAACAAGGAATCTCTAACCTTCCATGGTGGAAGGAGAATACTCTAAGATATGATTCGAGAGTCTTTGGCCAAAGCATATGAATATGACTTAGGAAGTTTGTTCCAAATCATATTCAATTGAATCATATAGATAAGTATCACATTGGATAGTAGACATGAAACAAACTTTCACCTGAAACAATGTGATTAAGAGTATTGTATTAGGGAAGGACCGTATTGCATTGTAGTTGTAACAGGATAGGTTCTCCAACCACTTCTACTTAGCTTGGGTAACCATGATATGCTGCTAGGTGTCACTCATGGTTTGTGGAAGCCCTAAAGATTAGCAAACACTAATTTTAAGGGAGAATTGAAATGTGGTTTCAATTCACAATCGATCGTTAAGAGTAACAATCGCCCACTACCTCGCTAAATGGAACCTAATGGATCGTACACCGAGTAAGGATGTTGGTGAAGAAATTAAATGAAATGGATAAGCAATTAAATGGTTTAATTGAAGAATGGCCAAGGTTAATTAATTAGTTAATTAATTACGAAATGTTCGTATTGGGCTTATATGTTGGTTTTGGGTTTCGGGGCCAAAAGCGTTTTGGTCCACAAGGCCCATTATGTTTAAGTTGTATGACAACTAAAACAAAATGGGCAATTAGCCCAATCAATTTGATATGGCCGGCCATTAGGGTGAGAAGTGTCAAACTTGGATTAATTACAAGTTTGCCACTCACATGTGATGAAGTATAAATTCAACTTTATAGCTTTATTTTCATTTAGGGTTTTTCTTGGTGAAATGAGGTGAAACAATTTTCTCTCATTTTCTCTAAAGAGGCCGGCCACCTAGGGAAGGAATAGCTAGCAATCTCTTCTTCCCTAAGTCATCCATTTCATCTTCACATCACATCCTTGGTGAAGAGACTTAAAGACATCAAGCTTTTGATGTTTTGGAGAACAAATCCTCAAATCCTCAAAGAAGCAAAGGAGCACAAAAGGAGGAAAATCACAAGGAAGATCCAAGGAGCAAGGAGGTGACTTGAAGGCCCTCCACTTAGGTGAATCCCTTGTGTAATCAAGGATGAGCTTCAAGGGTAAAGAAACTCTAAATCTTTCCTTCTCTTTAATGTTGTTAAAAAGTTTATTGGTTCACCATATACTAGGCTTTGAAAGTCATGGGTTTTATGAATTGTTTTTGAATGTATGCCTACTTTAATGTGTTAATAGTTTGCATATGTATTCAAATATTCTCACATGTTCTTAGTTAGGACAAAATTTTTCCTTCAGGGGAGTATTTGAATAACATGTTCAAGAATTTTCTGGCAGATAAAAGAATTACTCATCAAGTGTCTTGTCCTTATACCCCTCAGCAAAATGGGGTTGTTGAGAGGAAACATAGACACTAAGTTGAGACAGCTTTGACTTTGATGATAGAAGCAAACATTCCAATTTCTTTCTGGTATCATTCATGTTCACATGCAGCTTTTCTAGTTAACAGAATGCCCTGTAAAGGTTTAGAGATGAAATCACCTTATCAGGTTCTTTTTGGATAGAATACAGAAGTACATAATCTCAAAATCTTTGGATCTACTGTGTATCCATTACTCAGGCCTTTTAAGGTAAATAAACTACAACCTAGAGCCATTCAATGTGTGTTTATGGGTTTTGCTATGGGATATAAAGGGGCCATCTGTATGATATTAAATCCATAAAGTTTATTGTCTCTAGGCATGTAATACATGATGAAGATGTGTATCCATTTCAGATTTTACATCAGTCTGGTTCCAAAGGTATATCAAATCATACATCAGCACAGCAGTCTCATGTTGTGATTCATTTACCTGATACACTTGGAACCTCAACAAGCACTGATCAAAATTCACAGGAAATTCATATAGTTGCCACCAATGATTCAAACAATACAAATGTGTGTTCTAATGGTAATGAGGGGATTTCAGATTCACAGCAGTATAATTCAGATATTAATGCAGTGTCTCCAGAATTACAACAGCACCATCATTCACTCCATCATCACTCTGGTACATCATCAATGTTGCCTGTCCATTCCTCCACACAACTCGAGGCAATTCTTCTTGTCTCTATGCAATCTAATTCATCTACAGACAATGGGTTATCTACACACTCTATGACCACAAGATTAAAGAGTGGTACTATATTTAGAAAGAATTATGCAACATTAATTGCATCATGTCCTGAACTACATTCTCTTCAATTAACTGAGGATGAACCATTTGTTGGTGGTTTTTCCTTCATATCTGAGATTGTTGATGCTTCAGAGCCCTCATCATTTAGAAAAGCTGCAACATTGCCTTAATGGCAGGTAGCAATGCAAGAGGAGTATGATTCACTTAGAGCACAAGGAACTTGGACTTTGTACCACCTCCAGAGAATAAGGCAATTGTTGGGAGTAAATGGGTATACAAGGTTAAAAAGAATCCAGATAGGAGTATTGCAAGATATAAGGCACGATTAGTGGCTCAGGGGTTCTCACAAGAGCATGGTATTGATTATTCGAACACTTTTAGCCCTGTGGTAAGGCATACAACTGTTCAAATGATTCTAACTTTGGCAACAATCAAGCATTGGGATTTTAGACAACTTGATATCAAAAATGCATTCTTGCATGGTGATTTACAAGATGAGGTGTTTATGAAACAACCTCAGGGATTTGTCGATGCTTCTCATCCTACATATGTGTGTCAGTTAATAAAGTCCTTATATGGATTAAAGCAAGCCCCACGGGTATGGAATTCCAAGTTCACTAGTTATTTGACAACTCTACAATTTGTTGCTTCAGCATCTGATACGAGTTTGTTTGTCAAGACAGATGGCGCAGATATGATAATCCTATTACTTTATATGGATGACATCATTCTCACATGGTCAAATTCTTCAAAGGTTCAAGAAGTTATTCAAGAATTGTCTGTTGTGTTTGAGCTCAAAGATATGGGCAAACTGACTTATTTCTTGGGATTGCAAGTTGACTACAAAACCAATGGAGACATATTTCTAAATCAGTCTAAATACATTAAAGATTTGATTCACAAGGCAGGAATGGATTCCTGTAAACCTGCAACAACTCCATGTAAGCCACATTAGCAGTTAATTGATGCAGAAGGCACTGTTTTGACCAATCCCACATTGTATAGGAGTCTGGTTGGTTCATTGCAGTATTTGACCTTCACAAGGCCAGATATTGCATATGCAGTTAATACAGTCTGTCAGTTTATTTCTTCGCCAACAAAAACACATTTTGCAGCTGTCAAACGAATATTACGATATCTTCACGGTACAATGCACAATGGCATTCTATATTCCTTAGACACGGTGCCTGATCGTAATGCATTTTCAGACTCGGATTGGGCATCTGATCTCAATACTAAACGATCAGTTACTGGCTATGTTGTATACTTGGGAAACAATATGATATCTTGGCAGTCAAAACGACAGAACTTAGTTTCCAAAAGTTCTACAGAAGCTGAGTATAAAGCATTAGCTCACACTGCAGCGGATGTTGCCTAGGTGCGAAATATTTTGAAAGATTTAGGTGTTAAGTTGCTTACACCTCTGGTTATACACTGTGATAACATGTCAGCTATAGCCTTAAGTGCCAATCATGTCTTCCATTCAAGAATTAAACACTTAGACACGGATTATCACTTTGTTCGAGAGCGAGTTCAAAACGGAGATTTGGAAGTGGTATACATTCCTACTGATGACCAAACTGCAGACATTTTAACAAAAGGCCTTCACAATCCTACGTTTATTCGACACCGTTACAATCTCAAGCTTGGGAATCCCAGTTGAGATTGAGGGGGGATGTTGGGATGACACATCAACAACATCAGCACAGCCATGTCAGCAGTAGTTGTTAGAATTGTTAGAAGGTTGTTAAAGAGTTAGTTAGCATTGTAGCCGACTGACTTGGGATATAAAAGAACAGATTGTGATTCATTTGTAGTATTCTGGAAAATAATACAAAGATCATATTCCTCTCTCTCTCTCTCTCTTTCTTTCTTTCTCTCGAGCTTTCATGTTTCTCTCTAACCTTAGTACTTCATTCAATTCCTTTGGTCTGGTTATCAACTTCTTCGTCCTGCAAACCCTTGTGTTTATTTTTCATTTTTTGGCAAAAATATTTTTTATTTAATTTTAAATAAATATTGTAATTAAATTCTAAACAATAATTAATAAACCAAAAAAAGTATTTAATATAAAATATATAAAAATGTACATACAAGATGTCCGAACAAAAAAGAAAAAGTTACAACAAGTAGTCTTCTAGGTTTTATACATCCTGCTACTAGGTATCGGCTGGGCAAAATTGCTGGAAGGTCGAAGGTGGAGCAAGATCAGATGCTAGCATCAGGATTTGGAGGCCGGACATCTGTAAGGCCCGTACAATCATACTCATCTGCTCGCCCTGGGTCGCAAGCTGACCTTCTAGGGTTGTCACCTCCTCATTCAGGGCATCTATTTCTACAACATAACCGGAATATATCAGAGTACCAGTCCAACTATATCTTGTGCATCATCTCCTACATTTTGAGGGACAGAAAAACCCACTAAACCAACCTATACAGTTCAACAACAATTAGCTTATGCCATTTTTTTTGCCTATGAACATAGAACAATGGAGGAACCGTATAAATTGCCTCGGGTTGTCTATTGATTGTTCATTTCTGCTTGAAATTCTCAAACTATTTAACTCTATTACCAACCACAATTAGGTTTTCTTACACAACAAAATTCACTAATAAATTCTTGAAAAGTTCATGCACATTAACCCAGTTAAATACAATGTTCAGAAAATAACTAAACCCATTTAATTAGAGCAATGATATTTCAATACAAGATTATTTAAAGAACCCATACTTCAAGAAATTACAGAGACAACATTGAAGAGAGATAGAGAGGAGGAGAGAAATTGAGTACCTGAGTAAAAATAAGAGCTTAGAGACTAGATTTCCCTTTAGCTACCTTCTGATACCCTGAAATTCGATAACCCCAAATCAAATATTAGAAAAAATTTCATTATTATAAAGAGTTCAGGGTCCTAGAGATGTGTTTGGCTGCCAAGAAAGTGATACCCCATCCATGAATGGACATAGGAAATTTCAGTATGAAAGGAATCTGCATACTTTAGTTTTGACCCAAGAAAATGCGAGGAACGGCAAGGCAAGATTCGTGCTTTACCAAAATCAGGATGTTAAAATTTTGCAAGCGAAAAGATAAAAATATGAAACAGATACGTATATAAAATCAATGGGTGCCACCAGAGTGAGGACAGCAAAAGAGAAATTTGTTTAATATGGTTCAGTGAGGGTGGATGCAGACATTTTCAAAATTGAGAGAATAAAAGTTGCACGTAACAAAAACTAATGAGACAGGAAAAGAGTAAGTGCTAAGGTGATTTAGTGATCTGATAGCGAAGTAATATGCAGTATCCACAGGGGCATGTATAATAAAGATTTATAACTAGCCCTAAGCTTGGATTAGGAAATTGTCAAGTCATTTTGAGGTCACTTGCAGTTCACTACTATGAATGAAGAATATTATTATTATGTATGTTGAAACCACAAAGGGATAATTTCCCAGTTGCATATAGATTGATTGGGAAAATACGAACTACTCAGCACCCAAAAAATCCAAATTTAAGAGAGAAACAAAACACGTTGAGAAGAGTTCAGAGAAATCTGAATATGAAGTTGGAAGTGATAAAAATGCAATTTCCTGGGAGGATAAAAAAGGGTAGTTAATCATATTTTGAGTTTCAGTAATCTAATTTTGAAATTAAAGGATTAAATGCAAACTTAGTCACATGCAAAATGTGATGCTAAAGATGTAAAGATTCCAATGTACTGTGCATCCAAAGCTCGTAATGGTTCAAGTAATTCTTCTATGTTCTCAACCTGAACCACCCTCTAGGCTTTAGGGAAAGATATGACTATGTAATACACACAGTGTCAAGTATAAAAGAGATAAAGGTGTTCCAAAGTGCGGAGAACTATAAGGTCAGCGAATCCAACTTACAGATTGAGGCTTTCTGAGAATTGCTTCATGATTATATGTGCGATCCTGCTTTGATGGTGAGTCAGGTCTGCCACCTGTCTTCTTCTCAATCCTAGCCTTGTTGAAGATTACAGTGAATCCCTCAGCTGATACTGGATCATTGACATCCCATTCACCAATTTTTTTGGCAACCACACCATTTTCAACGGTACACCCTTTTCCCTGTGGATTTACATAATTTGAATTTTTTAAGGAAAAATCACAATCATCTAAAGTCAATGCATACCAAATTGAGATGTATAAATAACACAATTGTGTACAAAGTTCATGTTGGAAATGTGCCTAAAACCAATCATGTGATGATACTTTACGGACATTTCACATGTTAAACTAATCCAGTTTAATATCAAGGGCAAAGATTATTGTTTTAAGCCGTCTCATATAAATGTTATATGCTTAAACGATAAGTCCAAGGAATATGTAATTAGGAGAATGTAATGTAATTTAAACAAGTTAGATTTATGAGACCATTCTCTTTCGTATATATATCATATCCTAAACGTTCCTGATCATAGGATGCCAATTGGGCATTGACAATCCAAAATCCGTTAAGATCAGTACATGCTATGTCTTCTCTTAGGGAGAGTGACTAGTCTCGAGTCATTGGTGTGATTGACACCAAGACAAGCATGTAGGTGCTCAATAGCGAATGAGAGTTCACTGAACACGATCAACGAAGAGTTCTCATACTCATGTCACATGAGAACTCATGGTTAGGATAATGCAAAGTAGTCATTTGACCTGAGGCATCATAGTTGTCTTGTGGTTAGGTCCTTGATCTTTGATTATGTCAAAGTCACCCCGTCCGAGGGTGTCCACGGCATAGTTGGGGTTAAGCCACTTAGCCATGGAGGCAAGTGAATGCGCAACAAGGGATCTTTTAACCTTCAAAACCGTTTGAGGGAGAAGAATACTCTATGATATGATTATTAAGAATCTCTGGCCAGAGTATGAATGAGATTTAGGAAGTCGTTCTAAATCACATTCAAGGTAATCATATAAGCACACGAATCACATTGGATAGTAAACATGAATAAACTATCAAACCAAACAATGTGGTCAAGAGTATTGTATTAGAGAAAGACCGTATTGCATTTGTAATCCTAAACTGAATAGGTTCTCCACCTCTTCTGATTAGCTTGGGTAACCATGATATGCTGCTAGGTGTCACTCATGGTTTGTGGAAGCCCTAAACGTGTATAATCACTAAGGGGAGAATTGAAAGTAAGTTTCAATTCACAATCGATTTGAAATGGTTTTAATCGCCCACTGCCTAGCTAAAAGGAACCTAATGGATCGTACATCGTGTAAGGTGGAGATTGAAGAAACAATGGAGATGAGTAAGAATAATTAAATGATTTAATTATTTATGGCAAGGATTAATTAATATGTTAATTAATCAAACGAATAAGTTCGTTAAAGACCTCGGGATAGTTTTGGACCTTAAGGCCCAATGGGCTTCGAACGTCAAGCCCATTGACTTAAGTTGTATGACAACTTAATGAATAATGATTCACAAAGGCCCAATTAGGCCCAATAATAGCCCAATAATACCCTAAGGCCGGCCATTTAGAGATGGAGTGAGTTTTTGGACTTATTTACAAGTTTGCCACTCCAATGAATTAAGGTATAAATATGACTTTATAGCCAAAATTCATTTAGGGTTTTTCTTTTGGGGAAAGGATGAGAACATAAGCTCTCCTTTCTCTCTAAAGTGGCCGGCCTCCTTGGAGGGTTTAGCTAGCAATCCTACTACTCCAAGGTCACTCATTTCTTCTCCAATCTAACCTTAGTGAAGAGACTTAGAGGTTCTCAATTTTGGGAACTTGGAGAACCATTTCATCCATCCAAATCCATAGATCTAAGATGGAAGGAATGAAGGCCCTCTCTTTGGGTGATTAGCCTTTGCTTATGCAAAGAGGAATCTACAAAGGTATAATTTCTCAACTAACAAATGTTGTTTTAAGTTGAGTCAAGGTTCACCAATCTACTAGGCTTTGAATTTCATGGTTGATGTTTTGTTTTTGAGTGCATGCAAGCATGATTCTGCCTTTTAATTGTTAATTGCATGCTATAGATGTTGCTCAAATGAACATGTTTTTCAAAATTTCCTTCAGTTCAATGATTCATATGTTCTTGCATGAAATTATGAAGGCAAACAAAATCCAAGTAACAAAGATGATTAAGATTAAGGTGAAGGTTGTCCCCCATGCATTAGCAGAAAAACAGCTTATGAATCCTACTGTATCCTCAATCCTACTGCTCATAACACCAAGATATATAAAGTAATATGTATTCATGAATTGGTTTACAAACGTCGATGCCTGTAATTATTCTTCAATATGATGGTATTCCGAAAAGAAGAAGAGGTTTGAAATTCGACAAGCTTGTAATAGATCTACTATCAACTCTATACATGCATAAAATGAACAGAAAGAAATCTTCTTTTT